CAAAACTAAACTTAGGATTTTGGGTTAGACAGGATCCCTGTTGTAGAAGTTTAAACTAAATCTAACCCAACAAACCCCAAACATCTTAAAGGTTACCTAGGGTTAGGGTTAGAGTTAGGGTTAGGGTAGGGGGTTTTTATGATGCGACCTCCACCTTGTGCACCATTTCTTATATAATTATACGTTGTTTTAACTTTCAATTGGATTCATTGTGTTGAAAATATTTCTAATAATAAACACATGTTTAAATAGTTTAAAAATATATGTAAAAAATTGTAGAAACAGTGCAGAAAGTGCGGACCCATCCCGGTTGGTCCAGGCTGGGAATTATCCTGAAGATATTTAAAAATGCTTAAACATTAGAAGAGATGGGTTTCGAACATGAGATAAAAACATACATATTATGATTTTCGAGCAACTTTCTTTTGAGACGATTTAGGAAAGTGCGGACCAATCCAGGTCGGCACGGTCGATTTTTGCACCTCATGGGTTAGGGTTAGTGTAAAGATAAATACGAAATGCAACAACGGTTTATGCAACACTTTTTTCTGATTGGTCGGAATAATCAGGTGGGTTTTTTTCAATATGTATGCGCACTCTTCTAAATACACATTGAATGAGACATTGTCTTCTTTAAAATTGATTTGTTTGATGAACGCTAAAAAAATGTGTGTGTGTTATTTAAATGGTTTATTAAATTATTTATTACATGTGCCGAATGTAAATTGAAATTTTTATTTTATTTGGATATTTATAAATGATAAAAAGGATTTTGGCAAAAATTTTTATATGGGGTTTTCCCAAAAAATTTTTTAATGAATAGGACATTGTGCTTGTGTTAGATTTGTGTTAGCAGTCACTTTGGGGGTTTCGATGACTCGATGGATATGAGTTGATTGGGGGTTTTACTGATCATTGAAAAAAAATGTTTGCTAGTTATGAAATATAACCCTTGACCTGCGTTCATATTGTTTTTTTTTTGACACGTGCGGGGTTTAGGGGCAGTGAATTTTTTCAAAACCCCGGCGACAAAGAGTTGGTGGGGCCCCAAAGAACACCATCCTTTGCAAAGCTAATACCGGCTATAAGTCCGGGGGACCAGGTGCCCATGCTTTTCGATGAACAAAATAAAATTGTATTGAATTAGAGTATTCTTAAGCAGATGAAACTTACTTATGATTACCCCTCAGAATATAATAATTACTTAGATTACTCTGAATTATATGAATGTTACTCTTGATTACCCTCTTTACTAATATATGTTTATTCAACTGAGTATGAACCATATATTCCTTACTCTAGATTACCCAGTAAACTCAAAATTACACAGCTTATTCTGAAGCTGATTAAGCTTTTTTATGATTATCAGGCGTGGCACTGTCATTACTCAGATTAATCTGAAGGATATGAACCTTAATATTGTTTACCCACCTTACTCCTCTCTTTATTGAACTCATTATAATTCATATTTACCTTACTCTGGATTACCCAGTTAAACCTAAGCTTTCCAGGCTTTCTCTGAAGCAGATCAAGCTAATTCATGAATACTCACTTTAATCTAGCCATTACTCAGATTACTGTGAATGATAATTAGCTTATTCATAATTACCCAACTTAAGCCTATCGTTACTGAACTCATTCTAAACTAGATTTAGCTTACCTTAAATTACCCTTGTTTTCAGCTTGCCCAGCTTCTTTGAAGCACGTTACTGAGCTATTTCACAGATTACTTTAAATGATATTAATATTACTCCCTATTACCTAATTGCATTAATCTTTACTCAACTGATTCTGAAGGATGTTTGTGTTATTCTAAATCACAAAGTAAACTTTAAGCTTACCTAGCTTACTCTGAAGTAGATGAAGCTTACTTATGATAATATACCCTTTCTATAACCCTTACTCAGATTACTGGGAATGATACTAGGGTATTTCTATATTTTCCACCTTATTCCTATGATTATTGTGCTCAATTTGAACCATATTTCCCTTACTGTATACATGTATTATCCAGCTAATTTTTAGCTTACCTAGCATACACTGGAGCAGAAGTAACCTGCTAATTATTACCTTCCTTACTGAAGTAATTATTCAGAGTATGTTGAATAAGCTTAAAGTAAGCTGGGTAATGTGAAGTAAGGAGAATATTTATTTTTGTTTTGAGCCGCTACATTAGATTCTATTAGATTTAAGTGGTTAAGTATGTATGAAGTTTTTTTACATGGCTAGTTATCTTCTTTTCTTCAAAGCGGCCATCAGATTTTATTTTCTGTATGGTTTCAAAAAAGTATTTCAAAGATTTTGTCTTTGAATCGTGCATCATAAATAATGACTGTAAATCCTTCTTAAAAACAGCATCCAGGGATTGGGAAATGAATCGTATGCATAACTTATTAAGATATATCGCGCGAACCGATAGATTAGAGGTATCCACAGGTGTTCTGTGCGTTGATTGGTCACTACCCCCACCCCCATTTTTCCACTCTAGAGCCTTCCTACCTCTCCAAAACAATGCAAAATGCAGTATTTTTTATTTAAAACATGTTTACACATTAATTCAATTTGATGCCTTGCAAAAAATGATACATAAATAAGCAGTTGCAGTAAGCAGTAGCAATAGCAAAATTATAAAACGTGAAGTTGGCAGTAGCAGAAGCAAGAGCAAACTTATTAATTAAAAATAATAAATTATTGGCAGTAGCAGTAGCGCAGCAGTAGCAATAGCACAGCAGTAGCGCAAAAGTAGCAGTAGCACAGCAGTAGCAGTAACACAGCAATAGCAGTAGCAGTATCACAGCAGTAGCGCAGTAGTAGCAGTAGCACAGCAGTAGCAATAGCACTGCAGTAGGAGTAGTGTTGGCTTAGCATTAGCAGTTGCAATAGCGCAGCAGTAGCATAACAGCAGTACAGCAGTAGTAATAGGGGCAGCAGAAAAGGAGCAGTACCCAAAAGCATTTTTCGAAGCAGGGACAAAAGGGGCACAGCAGTACAGAAAACACAGCAGTATCATTTAGAAAAGGGAGTAGTAATAGCATTTTTGAAAAAAGAAATGCGTTTAATAAATCAAGTAACATTTTGGGCAATATATTTGCATCTTTTGTATGTTCAACATAAAACATGCTAAAAAGGAAAAATTTTTCCTCAAAAAATAAAATTCCTCTTAAAAATATCTGCTTTTTAGAAAAATCTTTAAAATTCAGAAATGGTTATATTTGAATATTTGAAGTTATTGTTTTGTGTTTGCCCATATAAATTTCATTTACATGTACATTGACCAAAAGTCAGTACTTTCCGATTTGCTGAAAAAATGAAACCCGATTCATAATACCAACCACAGAGAAAATCCTGAAAATAGCGAAATTTGTATGGCAAGTTAAGTACCTATGTCCAGATTCAATGTTGAATATGCTCGTTTAATAAAAAAAAAGAAATTTCATCCAGTTTAAAGTGAGAAAAAAAATATACATGTTCATCTATTGATTCTCCTACGTAGTGGTTATAAACTCCTAATAAGGATTTAATTTTTTATTTAACATTATGAAGTGTCACCAGGATGCTTCCGAAAAGATCGTGTACTTTCGTAAAGATGGCTGAATACTTCTTAATACTCCAGATAATCGATTTCATGAAAAGACATAACGTTATAATTTATTATTAAATGATAATAGATATCATTGTTTCTGTGTTCGAGTTGTTAATTCCTTATTAAGCTTTTAAACATCAAACGTAAGAGTTATAAAATCTAATACATAAAAATCATTAAGCCCTACGTAAGAGTTTTAAATCCCTAATTAGTTTTCATTTCCTATGTAGAGGTTTAAAAGTATAGATATACTTTTAAAAAACATGAAATTGTTTTACGTTTCCCGCACTTTTATAATGTTACGTCATTGTTACATTTGTTATGATTATATTATACATTACTATCTGAAGATATAAACAAGCATTGAAAGCGCTTACAAATATTAACGAAATTAACGTATAATATTTAAACGTTTCTCAAATACTGCATTTCAAAAAACCCAATATATAGCTAGATTTAGGCTTTACATATGTATGCTACTTTCAACCTTCTGTTCCTTTCTATTGGTAGTTCATATTTAAAATAAACAAATGATTTTCCTCTTTGTTTAATAATCATATAAGCTATTTCGATAGAGGAAACTATCAGTTTTGAATTCACAAGCAAGGAAGGACGCTTTTAATCATGAAAATTATGTCAAAAAGTCTTCGTGTGTCTTTACTATTTTCTAGTTTACTTTTTTTAATATTAAACCTAATTGGTATGCGTTTAGGATTTTATCCTGTTTGTAACGAACTATTACAAAGTAATTCAAAGCAGCACGGAACTGAGGAACGATACACGGTGACAGATGAAAGATATGAACATCTTGACATTCACTTGCCTTCAAAGTTACCATATAATCTTACAAATCCGGAAATAGAAAATCAGTCACATGGACAAACTCAGTTTATAGACAGGTTTTTAAAGAACATGGTAAATACATTCTCTTTTAAAAGTTGCCAAATCAATATGTCAATAATTTTGGCATTTTTTATTATTTTTAACTAAACTTTTATTGGATCGTTATACTTGCAGATATACTTTGCAGACAAGTTAAGCATAGAAGGATTTTTCATACGAGAAAGATTATATAGGATATGTGTAATCCCTTGTCATAAGGTGTGAATGAGCAATTATACTGATCTTACGTCTTCATGAAAGAATCATTGTTTGCAAAACTTTAATCATTTGTTTAAATGATTTAAATTATATTTCTTAAAAATAGTTTATGCTTTCATAAGTTATGTAAGAATGTTCAAGAGACATAATAAAATGTTTAACACATTGATTTTATACAAATAAAAACTAAAACCTTTATAATTCAAAGTTATTCAATTATATTGATAATTATCACATAAACAAAACATAATAAATAAGGGTAATATGATTGTGTGACAAATAATTCAAACTGTTTGATGTCTATGAATAAATGTTTTGTTTAATATAACAGAACAATTATTTTAAGATTTATAATTTAAGGTATTTGTTTTTTAATTGCTAAACTATTGAATAAGAACACTCAGTTATTAGGTTTATTAAAATTACATCTGTTGAAAATATGTTATTATGGATAAATAAAGTGACATTATGCTCATATTTTCATAGTCAAGTTGAGCTGAACTGACTATATATTTCATAAGATTGACTGTTAAAATGGTGATTGACTAACAGTTCATATTGGAAAATGTTTAAGATAAAATTCAAATCTGCCTAAAATATAAGACTGTCCCACTCTTTTTATAAAATGAACGTTAGATGTAAATTCTAATGGATATTTACGAAAAGTTTTATTTGAATCCATACGTTGTTTATTGTTTATGTTGAATAAATTTTTATGTCAAAAGGAATTATGGCAAAATGAAAACTTATTTTGACATTCACTTGTTCACTCATTTATATATACCCTTGGACGGGCATAGTGTCAATTTAAAGCTATTTCGATTGGTTTACAAACAAAATCACTTGGAATTATTTATTTATTGATCTTTTATCTTAATTTAGTGTATGAAAAAAATCAAATATTTCTTATATCTTAAATAATTAGTTCATTGCTATATTGTCTGCAGATAGAGAAATCACATTAAAATTGAACAGTTTATCTAAACTAAGCATGGAGTTAACATACTATACAAGAAAGACATAAAACAATTATTTCTAATAAAACATATATCAACATAAAATAAAAAGCACGAATATCAACATCGAAACACATGCATTTAAGAGGTTTTTGACATACAATAAAAAAATATAAGGTAATAAAAAATGTGTAAAACATTCCACATCTATTGTAATGCTTTATCTACAAAATTTAAAACGACGTCTATCTTAAATATTTTTACAGGTTTTGGCACAACATCTTATTATTTTTGGCCCTTTATTGGAAAACAAGTAAGTATATTTATCAGAATCTCGTATTTCAGAGAACAAACTACCATGCTCTATTGCATTAGAGTACAAATCTACTCTTAAATCTTCATTAACCTTACAATTGAACAAAACGTGTAATTCATTTTCAACTGAATTATCGTTACAAAAAGGACAAATTCTATGCTCTATGCTCAGACCCTCATAACGGCCAGTCTCTATACGAATCGGAACAACTCCTCGTCTAAATTGACAAAATGCTGACCGAGTAAGATAAAGATCAAATTATCATATACGAGGGCTGTCCAAAAAATTCGTGCACTGCAGTTATTGTCGTGAGAGTTCTTGATAAAAAAACATTAATTATATATCACTTGAAAGGGAGATCTGTCTCCAATGAGAAAACGAAAGAAAAATACGTGTAACCGGCATGTCGTGAAAACGAATCGTCATACAGTTACCTTGGTAACGTAATACCGGCGCACGACAAAAAATTGGGTTGGTTCATTACTTTGATGCATCACGGTATTCTTTAAACACTACATATAAAAGTTAAAATTCAGGGAAAAGTATGTGTACGTATTCCTAACGTCACTATAAAATATTACGTCATTTGCCCTATTGTAACGGTCGTAAACAAACATTTGTGTGAGGTCGTCAATACTGTAATTAAGTGAAAATGTCAGTCGCTAAACGTCTGGAAATACGGAAGATCATTATATTTTGTGCAAATATTGGTCAAACACCAACAGATACCTACACAGTACTTAAAAAGGCAAGCAGGGACAAGTTCAGTGTCACGAAGGCTGGTTTTCAAATGGCACAAACGCTCTGTAGAAGGGTGAGAGTGGGTAGACGATGACAACCGGTCAGGCAAACGTCCGTCCGTAATGCCGGACTATGTGACGGGGGTTGTTCAATATATTCGTTCACTGGTGGGATATTTTACATGTCCGTTGCATAAGAACAATAAAAACTACAAAATACTTTACATCAATCATTCCTCTTTTGACAGTAAAACAAATTATAACATAAAAAGCAAATGCCACTTTACAAGCAACAAACAATTAATGCAATTACAGTTATGAACTAAGCCAATGTTTTGCCGTGCGCCGGTATTACGTTACTAAGGTAACTTAATGACCATTCTTTTACACGACACGCCGGTTACCCGTATTTTTCTTTTGTTTTCTTATTTGAGACAGATTTCCCCTTCAAGTGATATATAATTCATTTCTTTTTATTAATAACTCTCACAACAATTACTGCAGTGCACGAATTTTTTGGACAGCCCTCGTATAAGGTGAGAGTATGGAAAATTTTACTTAAATTAATTATAGCTTATACATTTTTGTATGACCATTTATCTTGTGTATAATTAATGAAATTCAATGTTAGATGGTGTGAACCAATAAGTAATAAATGATCAGTATTTTGTTTGTTGTTATTTGAAAGTGTCAATACATGTTGTATATCTAATTTGATTATCTATGTGATATTTCTGTAGCAATATCTTTAATATCTTTAAAGACAATGACAATTACTATATAATACATTTATTATCCTATATTATTCATTACTTATTACTGTTATGTTCTCAGACTCATTTTTTTGTTATATTCTAATGTGTAGATTTTAAAATGTTATTTTTTGAAAAAACAATTGCTGATATCTTAAATTTAAGAAATATTGAAAAAAATTTGTAAAAATTAAATGTACATATTTATAAAATTGTAGGCAACATGATATTAAATCAGTTAAATCTAAATTACATTTAAGATTTTTTAATCGGAGCTTATATTTCATTATATCTCTATATTATCTATATTGTATACAAAGTGTTAGGCCTTCTTTATGTTTATTGTCTGTAGGTTCTTTGTGTATATTGTCTGAAAAATTCTTCCTCGAAAGTGATTAATATAAGTTGGAAGAACTTGTTTCGCAATCGAGCTTAAATAAATATGTTTAAACCAAAAATTCTTCTACGTTTTACTTCCCTGCGAAGAATGTCTGCATCATCTTTATACAATTTTAGATATATACACTATCTTTAACTCTGTAAATTAATGTAATGAATTGATATTAACTTGTCTGTATAATTCCTCTATGTTTAACTTGTCTGTAAAGTCAGTCTGTTAATTATACCGACGCACTTTTATCAATTTACAAAGTCTTGTAGTTTACATTTATATAAGAGTGTTGCATTTACTTAGTGTTATGTGGGGCGTCCGTGGCCGAGTGGTTAAGGTCGTTGACTTCAAACCACCTGCCCCTCACCGCTGTGGGTTCGAATCCCGACAGGGACTTTGGATTATTTCATGTGAGGAAGCTATCCAGCTAGCTTACGGAACGTCGGTGGTTCTACTCAGGTGTCCGTTTGTGCCTGAAATAATGCACGGAAGGACACCTGAGGTCTTCCTCCACCAGTAAAGCTGAAACGTCGCGATATGACATATACTGTGTCGATGTGACGTAAAATCCAATCAAACAAACAAAAAACTTAGTGTTATAGATTTATAAGATTTGCGTTAATTTCAATATTAATATAAGAATGATCTGTTCCCGTTATGCTCGTGTGTTTAGAGAAAAAGCTTGTTATATTAGACGGGTTTGATTTTCAGAAAAGACCCTCCGTTAAAGGTCTAACGGCATTTTTTAGTACAAACAGGTAGTCAATCGTTTTTACATAATTCGGGTACGCTGAATTCATTTTTTGCCCTACCGCTGCTGTACTTGAAGTCATTGACCTTCTAAAGGTCAAATCAAAATGGCCGCCATTGTCATTTACCATCTACTTAGAAAATGATTATTTCTGGTACATATCGTATCGTATGTCCGTTAATCTACTGGAATAAAGTTTCAATTACTTTTAGGAATAATAAGCTGATAATTATACATGCTTTACACATTGACTGCTATGCCGGCCATCTTTGATTTCAAAATGGACACTTTTTTTTTAAAAATTATGAGTAAAGTGATTTTAAACAAATGGATTCTTCTGTGGATGGATTCTAACCCTAAATAACCAAACAATTTTCATGATATCCCTGTTTGAAGATCAAGTAATAATATAAAGTACATTATTTCCCAATCCGTTATAGGTCGTATATTTATGCTTAACTATCTCAAAATCCATCCCTTAATGACAGAATACTAAAATGCACATCTTTTTTAAAGCAATTTCAAGTCTAACTTGAGGAGTTGAGCTTCAAACCTGGGTCTTTCTTATGACATTGTATCAATGTGCCACACATTAATGCAATTTATTTCAAAATCTATCCAAAAATGACATATATGGACGGGATTAAAAACGAACAGACAGGGACAAGCTATTACTGAGAGATTTGTAAAAATATCTGTTATCTTCATGTTTGTTTCTTACTCCAAAAGCAGCCTTTTGCCTCCCATAACCAATGATTCATCCTATAGGTCGGGGATATACGGAATTAATCTAAACGCCAAATTGTGATCGCAAATACCCCTAACTGACACAAGAGGATGCTCGGACAGATAGACAGACTGACAGACATTTGAGCAGGTCCCTCCTCAGGGCGATACAAATCCAATTAAAAACAAACATCGCAATACTTTTAAGAACATGCATTGTATTCTTTGAAGTATAAAAATAACATCTAAATGACAAAGTGAACGCAAATATGACTCTCATTTACGTTGTATTAGGGTATAAATTGTGACCTTTTTGCACCATAAAGTTTGTAGTTTTAATGGATGTTTTTTGAAGTCTGCGCTTGGAAGTCTTAATTAGTATCACTGCACTTCTAATGAAAGAAAACATGCCTAGTAAAATGCCTTCTTCTGCTTTTTTACTTTAATTATAATACAGTGTATTAAACTTAGGAAATTGTCAGCCATTTTGAAATCCAAGATGGCTGCCAAAATAAATTTTATTGTTTTTGCATCTATTCCTCTCATTCACACTTCAGCCGACTAAAATTAACAAATCCTTAAATTAGAATGCCAAAAAACATGTGTATATATCTCGACCATGAGAGAATTAAAGTAAAATTAAAAAATTTAATGGCTGCCATTTTGAAATTGATTTTTAAAGGTCGAGGACTAAACATTCAGCCGTGGTAGAGCAAAAAATGAATTCAGCGTACTCGAAATAGGTTAGTAAGCCCAACTACCTGCTTGTACTAAAAAATGCCGTTAGGATGAACATTTTCCCAAAATCAAACTAGTCTATATTGCATTAATATTTTATGTGTGTACTTATTTCGTTATCAAATATTTTAATTTGGATCGCAATTGTTAGCATTCAAAACAAAAGTTAACCGAGCTTAGGACAGAAAATACTTATCAAACAAGATAAAGACTCATTATTACCTTTGTTTTAAAGTTTTCCATTTGCATCAAATGTAATTGTCTTTTTTTTTTTTGCTTTTCAGACAAACGGGTTTTTTATTGAATCTGGGGCCTTTGATGGTGAATACTTGTCAAACAGTTTGTTTTTCGAACGTTTTCGAAATTGGACGGGACTTCTTGTTGAACCTAATCCATTTCAATTCAAGAGGTTGATGAATAAAAATAGGAAAGCATACGCTATCAATGCATGCCTTTCAGAGAAAAACTACTCTTCTGTTGTAAGTGTAAATTTTTGACTGAATATCTTAATCGTTTTATTTTGTTTTCTTTGCTCAAGAGTAAAAATGATAAAAACAAACCGTTGCTTACTTCTCATTGCCAGGTATATTAATAAAATTCGGGACATATAGTGACAGATCACAATTTATAATATTATTACCATGTTATTATGTTATAATCACAATGTATAATACATTGATGTTATTTATGTAATTTGAAATAATTTTGTATAATCTTCGTTTGTAGTAACATTATCTTCATTTTTCCAATGCTAAGTTGAGTTGAATTGACCATATATTTCAAAAGATTGAGTGTAATAATGATGATGAAGCAATATTTCATACTGGAAAATCTTTTAGATAAATAAAAGATATGCCTAAAATGTGAAAAGACTGGCCCTCACTAAATGAACGTTTCAGGTATATTGTGGTGGATATTAACAAACATTTCCTAAGACCATGAAAGTTAATTTTCGTTCATGCAAAGTATTTCATGAAACTAAAAGGAATTATGGCAAAATGTTAACTTATTTAATTCTCACTTGATCATTCACTGTATTCCATTTAATAGGCATAATGTCACTTTAATTACCCAGTTACTTATGATTATGTTATGAATGCAATAATATGAATATTTAATTCATAATCGTGATATATTACAAGGGGAAACAGATATACTAAAACTTGTTTATTTTTGAATGGGGAAACGGCCACGGCTCAATGAATACTAAATGGTTTTCTTATATAACAAGAGAGCAAAGAAAGCAGCTCTGGTTACAGATGTTAACTTTGTTCCTTTTATATTACAGTAACAACACAAAAGGGTTTTAGCGAATACTCAAAAAACATGCAAAATATTTTATTTAATTAGAAAAATATCCTAAACCAATACATCCTGCAATCAACTAAAATGATCTTTCATATACTTTCTAACTTCAACAAAAAATTATTTCACTATTTGGCAATACACTAACAAATCAGTGGCATTTACAACACCAAATCTGTTCTGCTCACAATGTTATATTTACCATGACATAGCCTGTTGTTACCTGTACACAAATTAAGTTCCCATCTAGGATAAATGAACCCAATCTTATCTAAATGGTCCAGAATTGGAATCAGTTATTTCGGGGTGATAAATGTAGCCACTAAGTAACGCAATAAACGTAATGGCTATACAACTATCAAGCTATGAGAAAAATAGATTTGAACAATATTTTCTTCATACTTTGAAGTACAGATTGCTGGTAAAATTGACACCAACCAACATCTCCAGTTAAACTAAAGTTATCGGAAGTTTATTTTCAACCTTAAGCCAACTTCGATCAAGGCCATTGAGAAGTTTACATTTAAATATTTTTCGGCTATATCTTCAACTTTATCTTGCAATGAAATGCGATTCCAGACACATTTTCGCTAACTGTTCTTAAAGCACTACCAATCAAATGTTGTTAGCAATAACACTAATCATTTGTTCCAATGGGTTGACCAAGTTAGTTACATTTAATGTCTCATACTAAAATGAATAAAAACCTTAAGGGCATTTGATTTGCTGTGTGAATATTGCTAGATAAATTGGAATCTAATAGTTTGTCTACCTCAACATAAATAGCAGTATCCGAAAGCTGGCTAGAACCAAAATGGCTTGTGCCAGACGGCGTAACCTGTTCCACTGCTTTTGAAATAGAGTCAGTTACAAAATCCTGACATATGTTCAGCTTTAATATGAACATAATTCTACATCTTTTAAGCAATTGGCGAAGCGGGTATATAACAAAAGATCTTGATGATCTATTTCAATAATGTTTTTCTTACACTGAAAATTGGGAAGCCAAATGTGAAAAGCTAGTGCTATAGAAACAAATTCTAAAATGACAGATCAGTCATAATTGGTTCAAGTGAGACACTTAGACCCCTTTACTTCTCGATCCATAAGGATAGATATTAACCCTTTCCCTCATGAGCATATTGTGAAAAATTACCGTTTTCATTGAAACGCCTCCTGATACAAGTTCAAACTGTTATGAAACTATGAAAAATGCTTCAATACTATGCACACTTGGAACAAATGTTGACTGGACCATTGAACGACACGCTTAGTCTTAAATTTACTGTTACCACAGCAACGAGGGGACATCTCAAAATTGCCAAAAATTTTGCGTTGATTTTTTCCATCAAAATTAATTTCAAAGTGCTGCAACTTCTCAATGAATTGAGATAGAGACAAAGGCTTTTCAGCGTTAGTTACACATTATCCTATAATCGACCTGGGTTCATTATTAGCCTCTCACAAAATTTTCTTATCGATCAGGGGGGGGGGCTACCGCCCCCTTCACCCCCCTCCAAACAGAAGGGGGCACATCCCCTATCTTGCAACTCCTTGATGCAACTTTTTGATAGGGGTGGCGCCGAAAAAGTGATCACCTTTTAAGCAACATTTCAAAAACGAAAAACAGTGTTTGGGGCCTAAATAGGGTAATTTTTTACTGTTTGAGGCCTAAAAAAAGGATGCCGAAAAGCCGTCAAAACACGTCTATATGAAATAAAGGGTTAAGATGACTCCTTGACTCTTAGACTTTCGATCCCTAGTGGGTAAGATATTTTGACTCCTACATGCATGTCTATTTAGAAGGCCAATATGATATTTTGAGTAATAATTTTAGGCAGATATCAGATTTTAATTATTTTCATTACACATTCCGACAAAACTTTAAAAAGGAAAAAGCAATAAATAACATTTTAGTCAGTTTAATGTTTTGTTACATAGCAGTGATAATATACATTGTATATATTTTTCAAAGCTGCGAAATAATTTATATTAAATTAGGTCCCAGACAAAAGTGAAGGAATTATAATAATTATGCGATATTTGTGCAGTGTTTATTTATGTCTACAATTTCTATAATTTGTAAAGGTTTAGTTTATATTTTACGTGTGAAACACATGTATTTTATTTTGGCGATGAATTTTGGTACGTGTCTACTTAATTAATGATATACATGGAATTAACTTGTCTGTAGTTCGAAGTTGCGACTATTTCATTTTCATGGCATGTGCATTAGGAAAAAGAAACCAAAATACCGATCGATCAATAATTAATTGGTTAAGATTTGTACATGTTCCGACTTAACGTATTTCGAGAATTATATTTAACATCAACATTGTGGTAACCCATATGTGGTATTGTAGTTGTATAGACTAAAAAAATGATAAAGTCTCACTTTTTATATTGTAATTTTAACATAATGAGTTAATTTTCAGAATCCTTGTTTTAAATTGTTTTCGTCTCATATTTCATATACGCATTCTTTTGATCACAATTTGAATGTAGTTTTTCATCAAAAGGCTTCAAAAGTAATATTTTTGTCAACAAACGTAATTTTAAATAGATCTTGAATTTCTTTAATATCTTAAGGTCAATATGCGTTTTTCTTAATCTCTTTATCTTAATTTTGTTGTGAATACGCATGCCAAAAACATTAGTCGCGTGTCCATGATGATAAAATGATTGATAATTAACAACTGTGGATAACACTCTGTTAATTATGAATTGGTGTTGTGCTAAATAAACAGTAGCTGCATTTCAAAATAATCGGGGATGGTAACATTACTAATAGCACATTTCGTTTGGTCATTTTATTACGTTTTCCAAATATTAATATTAAAATTTACATTAATTTTAGAAAAATGTCCAACTCATTAAAGAATATTCGTTTTACTAAGTATTACTTCTTTACTTGAGTCAGTTAATTTTTAACAACAATCAATTATTACTACAAGCTTTTGAAACCTGTACTTGAATGGTTCATGACCTTCTCTACACTCATGTGATGAAGCTATCCAACTGGCTGTGGCTCTACTCAGGTGCCCGTTCGTGCCTGAAATAATGCAAGGAAGGGCACCTGAGGTCTTTCTCCACCAGTAAAGCTGGAACGTCGCGATATGACCTATACTGTGTCGATGTGACGTAAAACCCAAAACAAAGAAACAAACAAAAACCCTTCTCGACACTCTTTGACGCGGTAAATATTGCTTTGTGTGTTTCTTGCATCATGACAGTGTTAATTTAAAGTTGTGCACACAGATATAATGTAAGAAAGTCGGTTTCAAAATCATCAACTATAGTATTCATTCCATGTATGACAATACAAACACATGTATTTTAATGAAAATGATGTATTCAAAGAACTAAAAAGTCTTATAAGTTCGGTAGAAAGAAACTAACAAGTGTACATAGACAACGACGACAGTATTTGCTTACAAGATGTGAACTACAAAACGACTTATAGAAATGCATTTAAATTAGAAATAAATTGTTATTACTGTAACTTATAGAAATATGTATATACATATACATACATAATACATTTTTGTTTTGTTTCTGTTCTTACATAAAATACTTGACTTGAAGAAGGATTAAAAATAACAAATAATAAAATAGATTAAACATATATCAATCAAACTTGTAAATAAACATAATTTTTATGAATTTATGTCTTTATGATCATTCTTTTTTTCTGAAGTAACGTCTTAATGTACCTACCTATAGAAAACGGGATCGAAATGTCCAGTAATTTTAAGGGGTCTAAGTGTCTTAGGGATCTAAGTATCACGGGTCGAGAAGTCTTAGTGGTAAATGTGTCTAGGGGTTGATAATTATGTCAAATGGGCGACGTGTCATTATTGTGACCTGTATTAGGCCATTGCATGAACACCCAATGCCTGTAAGATATTGCGGCACAACCTTAAGTTATTGTTGCCGAGCTGTTTGATAATGTTTTACAGAATTAGAGGACCAAACTAACTATTGGAAAATGCAAGACTTATCGAAAGCATCTATGAATTAAAGCTACATTTTAAATCCTCGTTGATTGAACAAATTAGTTGAGATAATGCTAATGTTTTGCTTTAAAATGTCACATGTAGCATTATGAAAATCTAATAAACCTCAAAGCGATTGAAATTCCTGTAACCTCTGTCTGTTTAATAAGAAGTATAGTAACTATAAAAGCTTTACTAGTTTTTCTGCCGCTATTCGAAGCTGCATTATAATTTTATTCAGCTCAGATCCTAAAAACAATAGAACTTAAGCTGGCTAGCTAAAGGTTCTCCCAAAGCCTTACAGATACTTACAAATACATTCATATGATTTATACAATCACTGGTTTCAGGCTTTTCCATAAAAATAAAATCATCTTAATAATAGACATTTATCAATAAAAAGTACTAGCAAGTAAAATCATCTGTATGGAAACATCCTAAATGTGTTTTCTATGTCAATCTTTCCAAGTAATTTATGACAACCTAGAAACTGAGGAAATCAATGACTTTATCAAGCGATGTGTACTTAACTTAGCACAATGTCTCATTTTTGCAACCATTTAAACTTGAACCCTTTGGAAAAGGCAAATTCTGAATTAACCCCATGATCTGCTCTTTTTTCGAACAAGGGGATAACCTTAAGTTTTTATATGCCTCTCTTAAAGGGCCAGCTATTCGCCCCGTTCTAACTTCTTTCAAAATCCCATTTAATTGTGACAAGAGGACTCTCTGTGTCCCTCATATTTAAGTTTAAAACCAAACATAAAACCAATGCTTAAAAGTTTATTATCTGCCTTTATTGGATATTGTATTAAAAATTGTGTAGAACGTTGTGATTAACTAGCGACTTTGCAATACCAAGGATAAATTATGTTGCTTCCATTTGCACTAGTTTCTTTATTGGGACATGACTTGCTATTACAAACGTTTGGTCTATTTATCTTCATTACTTGGCTAAGACAACATGCTACAGTGCAAACACAAATAAAGCATGCCACGTTGATGCAAACTTCTTTGAAATTAAAGTGTTGGTCAACCTTTTACCATAATAATGATGTGTTATGAGTGTGTTTGTGCCTTATCTGTTCATCATAAGGAAACCAACCTTTGCTTAAGACTTGCGAATCTGCAAAAAGAACATTGTACATGCATTTAAGAGACCCTGACTTTCATTAATGTATACAGAAGCATGAGTACAGAAAGCATCCCACAAAGAATAAATAGTAAATGATAATTTAGTCGCTTTCTCTTTAACTTGAATATTGTCATTTACTTCTACAATTTGCTTTTCATACGAGTCCTTTGTCGAGGTCAAGATTGTGTGTCACTCGACAAACTCCCAATTTATAATTTTGTTTTCGTCCCGTAACTCAAATGAACATCTAGATTGTCTTCTAAAGAGGGCTCGCCTTACACATTTTCTTCAATTTGATCAACCTTTTCTACAACTTGGTCTCCCTTCTAGTCAGGTAATTGATTTGCATTACAAGTAGCATTAGACTGTAATAAAATGACTAATGCTTCATCAGCTGAAGCCACATCCCTCCTGTTAACTCTAAGCATCTCTATAGGTTTGATGTTTGCTTAAAGTAAAGGTTCCCAATGATATTATTATAGCACGTTTTTCAAGGATACTCAAAATAAATGTGAAATGAAAATAGATACGATGTGAGATTAAAAAAACACATGCATTGTACTACATATGTAAATACATATAAAAGTGACGTAAAAATTGATCCGTCAGCAACTGTCAAGTTATTTTAAATCTATATGTTACAGAATAATTGACATTTTCAAAACGTTTGCTTACGGAAAGAAAAATTACAAATAAATCTACAGCGATCTGGAACCAAACAATGTAATAAGATATCAGATGCATTCCTGCTTAACAACAAATGTTTAATTCATCCATCATTTCCAAAATTTCATGATACATAAAAACTTAAAATGATTATTTTTATAAAAAAATCTACCTTGACCTTTTCTGTACAAGTTGGCGAACGGAAATGTAGTGCTATATTCCGGTACGATCATCATTCAATCCAGATGTACTCACCTTAGGAAGTGTTCAAACATTAAGGGCTTAAAAATATTATCTATATATCCCTTTTAAAAATATCCTTTGATGAACATAATAGTTCTACAACTATATTGTAACATTGGCACATAGTTAATATTCTTCCATATGGTGAAGTGAGCTTAAGATAAATGGAACCATTTATGAAGATATTCATTGCAATATGAATTAATCCAAAAATATACAAGGTTTAATAACCCTAACCTAATTTTGTTAATTTTTTATCAAAAAACAAACTTTATTTTTCAACTAAAATGTATTGTTTTTTTACAACAGAAAATAATTAAATGATTAGATTACTTGGATTATATTTTATTATTTTATTCAGGAAACATTCAACGTTGGAAATAAGGACTATCTCGGGGGGAGTGTTGTTCAAAAAGAAACACATAATCTTCTTCCCCAGCATATCCGAGTAAAGTGCCATCCCCTAATCTTAATATTGCAAGCAATAAACCGCTTTGAAGTAGATTATTTTAGCTTAGACATAGAAGGTGCCGAATATGGGGTTCTAAGTTTATTGCCTTGGGAAAGAATAAAAGTCAATATATTTTCAATAGAACACAATAAGTGGCCTGGTGGTAAATTGAACCTTATTAAATTCATGGAAAAACGAGGATACAAACTTTTAACTGAAATAAAACGTGTAGGTGTTGCTCCAGATTATATATTTAAGAAAACATCAGAAAATTTGCTATAATTGTTTAACAAATGCCACCTAAATGCGTTTAGTTTAATTTCTTTACCAGGTTGATTTGAATAGACCCTTTCTTCATAAAGTTGTTAAAAAACTTTTAAAAAGGGAATTTGTAGTGAAATCAACAAGCATTAATTTTGGAAGGACTAGTATAGAGTGCCTTGTCATTTATAGAAATAAAGCAGGATGAAAAGAGGTGATGGCACAAGAAACTGAAAGCAGATACGTCGCACACAGGGAAACCACACATCAAAACGCATGTGATTCCCTAATTTCGCTATCCTGATTGAGATCTATTCATAAAAATAACCTTTTTTTATCATTGTTATGTAATAAAATTGATAAATGACATTGTTCTTGTTCTTTATAAATGATAAAGGGATAGCAGCTAAACTGTTAGGAGATTAGAAGCAATTCGATCGTCTGTTTGAACCACATGATATTATTTTATTGTTAATTTAATTTCATTTTGAGTGAAAACAGTGTGAAAGCAATAATACTAATCGATTGTTCTTTTTTTTAATATAAAGAAATTTTCCAATAAGTAGTTTGATTAAATAACGAGAATTAGTATTTAAAAATTATGTGAGTTATTTTTTTGGGTAAGTGCTGGCGTATAGGGTTAGGGTTAGGGTATGGGCAAAAGTACGAAATGCGGTCTGAGAAGTGCGGTCGTTACTAAAAATAGAAGTTACATGATACATATACTTTTAATACGCACAGGCATATGACTTTTAAAAATTGTCATATGAATAAAATCACGTGTGTTTTAGTTGCGCACGCATTGTCATTCTTAGGGTATAGGCCTAGACTGGGGACATAACCCATGTCTCTTGCCTCGCCCACTTGTCAATTTATTGGCTGAGTAAGTCACGTGTTTATGAAAATATGTGTGCGCGCATCGTAATAGACTTTGTTCGATATAGTCACATGATGTTGTACATAGATTTGCGCCCGTATTCCCTGTTACCGCCATCATGTAATACTTTTTTCAACGTGATAAACAATTTTGTATTATTTTTTGGATAATTAAATACATGGTTAATGAATGAATGCGGTCTTTAGGGACAGTGAATTTTGAGTAAAACCTGGCGACAATGAGTTTGGTGGCGCCCAGTGATATCCCTTCTTTTGCAAAGCTAATATCGACTATAAGTCCGGGGGGACCAGGTGCCTTTGCTTTCCGATGACCAAAATAATATTTTATTGGATTAGAGTAAGAGTTAGTGGTAAGAATAAAATAGTTCAGCCTCATTTGAACTTTGTTCACCATTTTTTATCGTGGTTCAGCTTCGGTCAGCTTCCTCTTTCCCTCTTTTCACAGCTGAATCTATTTTGATATGTTACTGGGTTACAATATTCAAATTGAAATGAAGTTCAACCGAAACTAATCCAAAGCTGGTCCGATGCTTAACCAAAGAATTTAGCAAGCGGAAACCCGAGTTGAAATAATAAAAGCAATGCAAAAGCTGATCCGAAGCTGAACCGAAGGTGATATGAAGTGGAACCAATCTTGATTTGTCACTGAACCCGAACTGATATGATAGAAGTTAAACCGAACCTAATCCGATGCTGAACCGAAGCTGATCCGAAAGGTCAGGGTTAGGTTAGGGTTACGGCAAGGGGTTTGTACGATGCACCCTGCACCTTAAGATTATAGTTACCTTTTCTTATATAGAGTGAGGGTTATTGTTATCATTAATTGTCATATCATACTTCCCTAACTCTTTTATTAACCATGTTAAAATTAAGCTTACCCAGATAACTCTGAAGCAGATAAAATAGAGTGAAATAAGAATCCCTAAAGAAAGCACAACACTGCAAAATTGAAAATGTTGCAGGCCCGGTTTGATTGAGCCTATTCATGGACAATACTGTTAAGCGCAAACCTTCTCATGTTCAGCCACTTTGCTACAACCAGTACTATGATTACTCTAAATGATATGAAGCTTATCATTTATTAACCGCCTTACTCATTCAGAACCATATTTACCTTACTTTTGATTGTCATGATTTTTTAAGCGTGCTCTGCTCACTCAGAGGCACACCATTCTGAGTGATATTTACCTTTCTCTAGATTACCAAGGCAACTTTAGGTTTTCCGAGCATACTCCGAAGCAAATCAAGCTACATTACCCAAGCCATAAGTGTGAATGCTATTTAGCTTACTATTGATTATCCAACTTACTATTATCTTAACTCAACTAATTCTGAAGCATATTTACCTTGCTCTTAATGACCCAGATAACTTTAAGCTTACTCCGACTATTCAAAAGCAGATGAAGCTTACCCCTCTGAATATAACCAACCATTACTTAGATTACTCTGAATAATATGAATGTTACTCTTGATAACCCTCTTTACTAATAACGTTAAAGATGTTAAAATTACTCTCTATTACTTAATTACATCAATCTTTACTCAACTGATTCTGAAGGATGTTTGCGTTATTCTAAATCATAAAGTAAACTTTAAGCTTACTTAGCTTTCTCTTTAGTAGATGAAGCTTACTTATGAGAATAAACCTTTCTTCAATCCTTACTCAGGTTACTGGATATGATACTAGGGTATTTCTACATTTTCCACCTTACTCCTATGATAAGTGTGCTCATTTTGAACCATATTTCCCTTACTGTATATTATCAAGCTAATTTTAGCTTACCTTGCATACACTGGAGCAGAAGAAACCTGCTAATAATTACCTTCCTTACTTAAGTAATTATTCAGATTATTTTGGATAAGCTTAAAGTTACATTAAATAAATATGTAAAAATATTTTGCGGCCTAATAACCAAGCATTCTACTGTTTTATTAACCTTTCTAACAGTATTGTTGTAAATCTCATCAAATATTGTTCATAAATTACGATTTTAAACGGAAACCCCCACGGTAACACGTATACGAATTTTAACATGCAAATGAAGACTATAATCAGTTCATGTATGTGCTACGTCACAGTGTTATAGTTGCTATACAGAACACAGCAAATACGAGATTTTCATGTGCATACACACTTTAACCGTTTTACCTTCACGGTGCACTTGACATGGCGTTCAGGAAAGGGTAATCATCTCATAAAAATATTAAATTTGTATGAATACAACCGTTACAAAGCATAAATATACCTTTATATTAGGACTGCTACTTAAAACCATGTATGTTGATTTAATATTGATGTACGGGTGACCCGAAGGCGGAGTTTTCTCATGCAAATTCCGATTTCGCCACAATGAGGTCGCAGATGTTAATGCTTATAAAACTCATTTTGGTTGCCTTGTCACCATTATAAGATCTGGAGTCGATATGAAACCAAATTTACTAATGAAATGTCGCTTTTTCTGTTTTTAAGAAATTCATTTAATGTAGCTTTAAAGTAAGCTGGGTTATGTGAAGTAAGGAAAATATCTATTTTTGTTTTTTTAAGTTGCGCCACTACATTAGATTCTATTATATTCAAGTGGTTAAGTATATATGAAGTTTTTGTAATGATACATGGGTAGTTATCTTCTTTTCTTCAAAGCGGCCATCAGGTTTTATTTTCTGCATGGTTTCAAACTAAGTATTTCAATTATTTTGTCTTTGAAACGTGCATCATATGGCTGTAAATCCTTCTCCAAAACAGCATTCAGAGGGCTATTTAAAACATTTCAGCGTCGTTCGGTTGTAAAAATAGAAGATTGGGAAAAGAATAGTATGCATAACTTATTAAGATATATTGCGCGAACCGGTAGATTAGAGGTATCCACAGGTGTTCGGTTCCATTTTACCACTCTACAGCCTTCCTACCTCCCTAAAACAATGCAAGATGCAGTATTTTTTATTTGAAACATGTTTACATATTAATTCAATTCCATACCTTGCAAAAAAAGAATGTAAATGAAAAAAAAATTGCCTAGGATATACACGCATTTAAATTTGTACACACTACCAGGGATGGACGGACAGATATATATTTAAATGCATTTTTTATCTTAAAACACACATATATCCCAACAATATGTTGTATTGTTCATTAAAATATATAGATTAATATTAATAAGGCCAAGCCTCAAAACGAGGTCTCCAAAGAAATTTGAGTACATCAACGGCGGCTGCAAACTTTTTATTACACATTTTATGCTTTCAATACAATTTGAAATGCACACTTTCGGCAGCACAACTCACTTAATACAACCTCAGACAATATATATCATGTTTTATATGATATCTAAATTGAATCCTTCTTTCAAAGAACATAGATGTGAACCATAATAGGACAGAGATGAAAGTTGGGGCAACATGAAATTAGGCAAAGCTTTTGAACGGGGAAGTCGGTTAAAAAAATCGTTCGTTTTCATTTTACATTTCCTGTTTTGAATTTGCCATTTCGCATTTTAAGCACTGCTTCCTTTTATTTGGCTGCCCGGTCAAATATTTGTTCCCATACAAGTGCGCAGGACACAAGTCTGTTTTCGATCAAAATTCCTCGGCTTTTATCGTTATATTGTAAGTCAAAAAGGTGCGATGGTCTTTTTTGCAGTACTACTGGCAAACATTTTAATACCATCATTTGTCAGGTACCCTTAATTCTCTCTTGAGCTTGCTTTTGGCGTGATAATTAGGGTTCGAGTTAGGGTAAGGGATAAATACGAAATGCAACAACGGTTTATGCAACACTTTTCTGAATGGTCGGAATAGTCACGTGTTCTTTTCCAATATGTATGCACGCGCTTATAAATACAAAATGAATACAACAAAGTCTATTTGAAGTTGCTTTGTTTGACTGAGGCCAAAACAAAATGTGTGTATGTGTGCGTGCGTGCGTGTGTGTGTGTGTGCGCGCGTGTGTGTGTTTTATAAAAATGGTAGATTAAAATATTTATGAAACGTGCAGAATCTGACATTTTTATTTTTATTTGGATATTTATGAATGATAAATATGGATTTTGAACATTTCTGAATGACATTCCTAAAAAAGGTATTATAATTTGTTCGATTTGAGTTATGCATTGCAGTTCTTCGGAGGTGTGAGATGACGGCGATGGATGATGATGATTGATGGATGGTTGACTGATTCATTGAAAAAAACAAAACGTTCGAGTTTGTGTAATGAAATATGAAGCATTGACACTGCGTTTAATATTGCTTTTTTATGACAACGTGCGGTCTTTAGGGAAAGTGAAGT